CTAAATCCCTGTTATAGGGTCTGCAGGTCTCACCCAGTTCTGACGTGTATCTCACTATATATAAATTTTAACAAGAACTAACAAAAGGAATAGTGAAAGTGTTAAGGAACCCTTCCCGAGCCGAATAACGCCCTCTGGTTCATTTCAGATTAGATTTTGAGAGCAGTTTCTCGAGAGCAGTTTCGGCTCACATTCTGTCCTGCCTGAATCCTTGAAGTTCAATTAGAGTTCAATTACAAGCGTATGAGGCAACTGGCATCCCCTCCAAAATTTTTTGGCCAAATCTATTAACAGAGAAAGTCTCAGTAGAAATCTGCCTGAATCTCGAAGAGTGGCTCAGTCAAAAAAGCCTTAAATAAAGCCTCACAATGGAAGTTGTGGTAAAAGCATAACTCACTAGACACTTACTGTACCTGATAAGTGCCTCCACACGATCCTCTTCAGCAGAATCTTTAGCCCAGTGAGACGGACCACCAGACATGAGTTGCAAAAACACTCGATCTCAAAGTACCTAAGAAATGTTAAGAGGATACAGCAATGGAACACTCCGATAGGGAGCAGCACCTGTTCGTATACCCATCAAGCACCCCATCTCCCTTGTTGAATTTCTGGGAAAATTCAGCTCTTTATAGATTAATCGTTATTTCCAGATCACCAAGACGTGACGCTAACCAAGGGGGAGGGGGGGGGGTACAAGCACTGGTTATCGTATCGTACAATAGGTAAATTGATATGCAAGTAACCTTATCGTGAATTCTCCTGATTCCATGACTTCTCGCAAAAGGCGCAGACGGCGAGCCGAGCAGTTAATCCTTACGGTCTTGTTCGCTGCACACGCTGGAGTGTTTCAGGAGGGTCAGGTTGGTGCGGGTCAGCCTGTTCTCCACCAACTGTCGAAGCTGACAAGCGACCATAACTGGTGAAGAACAAGCTGGCGCCACGCCAAATTCAGCCCTCCTAAAATGGCACAGCGATCGCAGCAGACAAAACTGCACCCAGTATGCGCGGACTCAAAAAACCTCCCCAATCCAAAATTCTACGGTTCTCCAGACCCGTACTTATACGTCCCAATTTTCTTCGATTTTCCAGCGACGGTGAGTATGAACCAAACATGACCTGATCGTTCCACTGAAACAACAAACTGCAATCACTTTCAGATGCACTTCTTACGAGGAGGCCTTGAACACCATAATTCAGTGAGCACAATGACAACACAATTGTCTAAGTCTAATATTTATTCCACAAAGAGACAATGAACACAATTCTACAAGGCTACAAAAATGAGAAAGTTAATGTCCTTCATTTTGTTTCATTTCAAAAGGAGGAATCAATCCAGTGGTCTCTGCTCTGGCTTTCTTCTCGGCTTCGATTTCGTCCAAATACGGCTTCAAGTACCATGTCTCCTATAATAAATAAAATCCTATACATTCTATAAAGGATATTGCTGAATCGACTTGTAGGTGACCGCAAATTAGCGTACCTGTTCCCATTGAGTCCACTTCTCCTTTGGTAGCCTTTCGCCGTGAAGCGCTAAGGTGTGGGCATGTGAGAGGCGCATCTACAAACCTTGGCTTAGAATCTTGGATTCTTGCACTTGAACTCACTGAACCAGCCACACCAACCTTTCTTTGATCGAAAAGATGAGGTTCTTTCAAGTTGAGACGCCTCAGAGCTTCAGTAACTTCGGGTGCAGGCTCAAAATATGTATCGTGGAACTGCAATCCATACTCACGACCTGAATAACATCAATTTCATCATTAAAAAAGGCAAAAAAAGAGAAAATGAAAAGTCCAATAAAAAAGATAATAACAGCAATAATAGTAACTCTGGTGTGACTTGTCTCTCCATATTTTTACTCAACGAAGTAATACTGTGCTTTACGCGTAACGGATAGCGCACTCGAAAGCGTGAGGTGCAGGTTCGACTAACGCCTGGGGTACGACTTTTGCCCATAACTCAGCATTGTGATAACTGTGCTTTAACTTTCAAACATAAGACAATGGGTTGAGTTCCTTTCAGAGTACACCGTCAGGATGTGTAAAATAGTCGCCTCGTTGCGACTCTCCACCCAATTTTCTCACCAAGGTTCAATCTCCCTTCCCCAATCCTACTTACGATCTTCCCTTGTCCTCCCGACTTCCCACCACTCTTCCCCGCTTCACTAAAAATTTTCCAGTTTTACCCGAAAAACACGTCGGGAGGGAGTGGGAGGTCGTCACCGATCTACTGCTGATTTCGACTGCTAGAAATAAGAGTTTCATAGTATTGGTTTGGCCCGCAAGTAATCGCGATTTTTCTTACCCAAATTTTTATAAAAAAGTGAGGTCGTTTCCAATGTGCTATTCGATAATAATTTCCCTCTCTATAAGATAGTGTAAGTGCCTTCATACCATTTCTTGATTTCTTTCATTTTTATTTGAAATGGAGTGTCGGGTCGACACAAATGTGTGTTTTTGACAATAACCTTTTGCACTTTATCTCGGTTCTCCCAATTTCCAGAAGAAGCTCAAAAATGTGGTGATATGTATGATCAAGGAAATGTTCTTCTCATGACAGTTTGAAGTTGTTTCAAGTGATCAAGAGATTGGGAGTGCGGGCCTTGTAAATGTGCATTGCATTTGCCCCCTTGGAAAGCGACTGCCTGCAGAACCTACCCACAAACTTTCGGACGTGTACCATCAACTAAGGGTGATGCTTCATATGATAAGGAAGCACTCCATGACCTCTAACGAATCCTCATTACTTGGCATGAATTCCCATGAATAAAGTGATACAGCAAAATCTCACTTGGACTTAGGCATTAGGCCGCGTTCATACATGATGCAGAAATGCCGAACCACGGAATGTGCAGAACTGCGGAATTTGCAGACGTGTGGAATCTGCAGAATCCGCATTTCTCCCAATTCCCACGACGGCAGGGAAGAACCAATCGATCCCTATCATTCCGTCATTTCTGCATGTCGGCAAATTCCGCGGAATTTGAAGAAATGCAGTTTTCAGATCGATACGTATATATTTCCTTTCTGCAAATTCCGCAGTTCTGCAGATTCCACACGTATGCAAATTCCGCAGTTCAGCACATTCCGTGGTTCTGCATGTCTGCATCATGTATGAACGCGGCCTTAGGCCATTGT